GCTCGCTCTGGGGGGGGCAGGGGCAAAACAGGGGCTTGCCCCTACCCAGGTGCCGTGGGCAGAGGGGGGTGGGCAGGGCACCCAAAACAGGGGCTTGCCCCTACCCAGGTGCCGTGGGCAGAGTGGGGTGGGCAGGGGGCTGTGCCCCTGCTTGGACCCAGCACAGAGAGGTGGGGAGGGAACCCCAAAATCTCAGCCCCTGCCGCCTGCAGAGCCTCAGAGGAAGGGGCATGACCCCCGAGCTGTGGGGTCCCCGCCCGGCGCAGCTGCTCTGGCCCTGCCAGGACGGTTTTGCCAACATGGCGGCATTCGGTGACAGAGGATGGCAGGGCTCTGCCGCCATGGCTGAGCCTGGCAGCGCACCCTGGGCAGGAGCAAGGGGGGCACGGGGCTGCCTTGGGGGTCCCACACTCGAACGTGGCCATGCACATAGTGGGGACACACACGTGGCACATGGTGGGGACATGCACACCCACCCAGCCCTGCCCGCCTGCCCACCAGCACCCGTTTTCCTTAGGGAGCCACTGCCTGGCACTCGGGAAGGTCCCCGCTCTGTCACCACTGTTGTCCCGGTGGCTCTGGACCCCACTCCCCAGCCCGGCCCAAACCCTGCTCCCAGGCTGCCCCTTGACACCCTGAGCCACTGAGGCAGCCCCACCGTGCCCAGCACCCTCCCCAGCCCCGAGGGTCTCACGCCGGTGGTGACCCCAGGGATAGATGACCCCTCGGGGCAGCCCCAGGGCCAGGCAGGGAGCCGGGGGTCACCCAGGGTGCCCAGGCTCTGGGCTTTGGCTCCTCACACCGGCTTTGGCGTCTCCCCGCTGCAGTTTCTCCCAGTGCCCCGGGGCTGCCCGTGGCTCGCCCGGCACATAGCAGTGCCGGAGGAACCAGGGCGCTCAGGGACAGCGTGTGTGGCCGCGCTAACAGCATGCCAATGGCCCCCTCCCCTCCCACCGATGCTGACAGCATCTGCCTTAACAGCCATAAATATTTATCGCCCCTGACACAGGCAGCGGCTCCTGGGGTGCACCCGCAGCCCACCCGGCTCTCCCCAGTTCCCCTGGCTGGGGGGGTCCCTCCCTCAGGGATGGGGCGTCCCATGCAAGGATGCAGGACCCAGCCACACAACCAGGAGGGTGAGCACCACAGCCCCCCTGGAGCCCCCAGCCCCACCCAGGGGCCTCCTCTGGCCC